GTGATATATATAAGTATATAATATATATAAATTATATAAGCAATTAAAGTATGTATATAATAAATACTGATTTATATATATTTCTCTGAAAGCAGTATCTTATTTATTAATATACATGTATAATTCATATTTCTAAACTACATCTCTTATCATTACATAGATCATATAAGCTAATTTTTATTGCTTATTGTTCCTAATTTGATGATTAGATACAACATATTAGCAAGTATAAAACACATGATTATATTAATAACATTAATATATGATGAGCATACATACCTTGCAATTTTTTTGGTAATGACCTACATTTCCACACTTCTTACATTGACGTTGATGTTTTATTTTTGGTTCGTAACTCTCATGTGATGATTTAAATCTTTTAGTACCCAGCGGTCGTCCCTTTCCACGATGTTTCTTTGGATTTCTTAATTGAGGTATTGCAGAATTATCATTTTCTCCGTCACTAATATCGTTGGCTTGTAAACTTTTATTTGAATCAGACTGTTCATTAATATCTTCTTCAGCAAATTCTTGAAGTAAACCAATAAGCTGCTGTGATTTTGAATGATTTTGCAATGCCTTATGAAGAGCTTTCTTATATATACTATGCAATTTTCCATAAACAGCCTTCTGTTCAAGAACAGTTAGACTTTCTTCACGAAAGTCTTTACAATCCTGATCAAAAAGACACAAATATGCCACCGTACCATTTGAATCATGTGTTATAGTTTGATCATCTTGCATATACTTATCTGCTAGCAAAAATGGCTCTTCTGAACCATTTCTGCTCTCATTATACCATCGTGTTGGAATTAATCTAATATGAAAGTAGGCATTTCTCGTGGCTAACATTACCTGAAAATAGTGTCTACAAACAATTCCACATCGAATAATAGAAAGGCAGGAACAAATATGTCCTCGATTTTGTAATAATAAAATATGATGTTTGATCTGTAATGAGTTTCCAACACTTACAGCCCAAATTTCTTTAATATTAAGAGAACCAACAAATTTGATTATTCGTTTCAATGTGGCTTGTGGGGTATCAACAAATGTATCATTTGCAAATATGGTTTGATCCTATAATAAATCACAATTTTATTAGTTACCTATAAAATTAATCTAATCCACTAAACCACATCCTAATTCTAATTCACGCTCGAATCCTAACCACACTCTAACCCTAACACCTAACCCCATGCTCTAATAAATTAACTGGTCATTTACCTCATCCATGCTTTCTGCATCTTCCTGAGTAATAGGAACCGCTATATAATATAAAGACTGATTCATCTCGTCGCGATGCATCTTTAACAAAGAAGCTGTGAGATATCGTTGAAGGCATTGATCAATTTTAGTGAATAGAAAATTCACTTTATTTTGATTTCGTATAGTGGGAATCGATAGTTGCCAAAACTTGTACTCATTTTCTTTATCTTGCAGATCAAGAAGTTTGTGAATTTCGCCCATAAGATCACATAACGAAACATTCGAGTTATACAGCAAACGCTTCAAACACGCATTCACAGATTCCACACGAGAGGTTGCTATCATACCACCTGTAAATCTAAACCCGGTAAAGCAATGTGCCCAAGATGTCTTTGATTTATAAAGAAATTCTAGGTAATTTCGAGCATTCGGATAGTCTTGTATAAGCTTATCAAATCTTTGTTGAAAACAATCTTCAACAAAGCTATTACGGCAAAGATAGAATTCATCAAGAAACTTTTGATACTCTTCACCTAAGACTTTCCTGAGATTCTTGTGTAGATTCTGGGTAATATGATAAGCGCAATGTATGGGATATGTGAAAATAAATATTTGATGAATGGCAGAATCCACTGCTGGATCAGCATCGGTAAGTATAACACCTGGATGTACACCAGTCGCTTTTATTATCTGACTAAACATCCAGATATGTGATTCAAGACTTTCATCTGCTAGAAGACCTTGAGCAAGCAAGATATTACGTCGATCATTGTTAAATCCAACAAATAATGATAAAGCCATTCCGTAGCGGTTGGTTTTGTGGGTAATGTCATTAAGAACACAATCAGAATACTGTATCCAATTCTCAATTTGTTCTGGTGTCATCCATAGCAAATGAGTTAGAGCATTATCATCGTCCCACCCTCGCACCACAAACCACCGAGAGTCGAGCTCTTTCTGTTGATCGAGCCAATTCGAAATCTGTGCTGCATCATTTGATAAAGATTTCTGTGTCGGACGAAATTTATTTATTGCAGCGTAAAGATCTTTCGAATGAATAGGATGTGATGGAAATTTGCTTTCAAGAAATTTTCTTTGGGCAGTCGTGCCGAATTTGCATGATACAGTCATAAATTTGATGTTTTCCATCATTTCGCTTGTAAATTTCCTTGATTCTTCGAATTCTATAATTGCTTTATTTAATGCGTGATTATGTTTGTCTACAACTTTGTTAATAAACACTAAAGTCTCAGGATTCTTAACTTTCGGACACGAGGTATTAACCAGAAAAGGGCATCGAGTTCTTTTTGAACTGGTGTCCTTGTTTGAATTCGAATCATAGCTCCGACTGTGTACACATATAAACGTTCGTCGCCGAATGACACCTTCTTCGCGGTACACCCGATCTTTGACTATACGAAAGCCTTGTTTTTTGGCCCATTCCTTTAGAAATAATTCGCAAGAATCCCAAGTTGAAAAGGTTCTTCCTACGTCCAAAGTTATGAGTTCAATTTCGACAGAAGGTACTAGCCCGTTATATATTTTGTTAGAATTGTTTATCAAGAAAGATTAGATTAGGTCATATTCACACGTCCACCAAGGTAATTTCAACTTGCCATTATTACTTATAAGTAGAGCTTTTCCTGTAACTAGTAAAACAGTCTAACCGATATACAAATTTCAACTTTTCAAACATCGTCGCGATGGCGTACACTCACCTGTATCAATTGAACGGGATTGTTCTACTTCTTCTAATTCTGAATCT